ATAATATGACAGTGTCAGGTCCAAAGTTCTGACATGAAACAAAGTTTTAGAATTTTGAAAAATTGGAAACAAAGAAAAGACATAAAGAAGAAATTCATGTAATTTTGTCCCATTCAAACCTTCAACCAAAGTGAAACACTGATAATATTTGCAATTTAAAAAAGTTAATACTGAATAAGAAAAAAGCTTAATACAAGCCTTTAATATAACAGGACTTTTGGACTGTCACAGTGAGTTACAAAGAGTTACAAATAAAATGAGCATCACCAAGATTAAAATATGAAACATGAAGGTGAATGTATGACCATTTCAGATATTGGGTGACCCCTGAAAGAAGGTTTTGTGCTTTGACACAATCAGAACCCTGAGAGTTTTTCTGCTCTTTCCTCTCTTTACTGAACACAATTGTGCAGTTATTTATGTGAGAGTGCCAGCAGCTCAGTGAAGTCCAAGGAGAAATCGATCCAATCAGTCTCACCTAGTGATTCCCTTCTGCTCACGGTGAACTGCTATTGATCAGGCCTGATCACGGCCCCAGGGCATATCCACACACACAACCAGGGACACATCCTCACTTAAAGGAGCAGCAGACCCAGGAGAGTGAAGAATGAGAGAGCCAAAGAGAAAGGGGGGGGGGGGGGGGGGGGGTGAATGAACAAGTTGGAAAACTCTCAATAATGTAACTCCATTCATTTGGGGGGGAGCTGTCAGGTCACTTGTAAAAACTGTGCCGGCTTAACTTGACAAAACACCCGGTATAGAGTCCATGAAGTCGACAGGGCCACTAGACTGTCGACGGAGAGCCAATTACGTGAGGAGAGAAGAGAGACAGTGGCCCCAAAACCTGCATCTGATGACCGGGAGATTAGCCTAGGCTTCAGGTTTGTAAATGGTTTTCCCAGAGGCTATCGCACCCTTGACCAACATCCACTCTGTCGCTCGTCCCAGCAAACTGGGTTAAGAGGCCAATTAGAGAAGAAGCCCAATTAGCCTAATCGTCTGCAGAGTTAAAGAGTAGTGTGGGGAGGGGGATAAAAGAGTGACCGAGAATAGAAAGAATCAGGTAACAGGACTCATACTGAGAGACACAGCATGCATTAGAGAGCGGCTGTTAACTACTGTACTGGACCACTTAACCCAACACAAACTAAAATCACACTAAAGATTAATAAAGGTACCATAATTACACATAAGTATAAACATGGCCCTAAATTTTACTCATCTTTCATGTGATTTTAGTTTGAATCATATTTATCTCATAAATCTAAATCTTTAAAATATTACATTTTTGAGCATATCTTATATTGCATCTTATACTGATTTTATAGTTTATAATTATTATTTATCATTTATTGCAATATATATGAAATGTTATTTTAGAGGTTATTTATAAATGATAATCTTTCAAACAATAAATTATAATAAAATAAATTATAAATACTAAACAGACATGATGTTCAGTGTTTTCAGTGTCTGCTGTTGCAATATATGAGGTCAGACCACATGAATTTTATCTCTAGAGCTAATCTGAGTTTCTTCACCAGCTTTACGCCGTTTCATTTAAGAAAAACTACCATCAAATACACACTGAAACTCAACGATCTTCACAACAAACCAAATATACTTCTCAAAGTAATAATAATGTTATTATTTTTAAGTTATATCATACAACCAAGATTTTTTCATCCATGTTTTTATTTATATAGTTCTGTTCTGCAGCATCTTATTCAACAAAAAAAGCAATGTTTTGTTGTAAATGAATTGTCATTTTCTTTTGATTACATTTTAGAAGATTAATTAAATTGTTAAAGTTGTATTCATTCATTTCATTAGACACCATTTTTAAGATTTGTATTGAATTACAAAACACAAAATCCAGAAAAAAATTAAATAAAACGGAAAGCACAAAATTTAGGGGAAAATAAAATGGATTTAATGGAGCCCTAAAATAAAAGATAGCTTACTCTGTGGTGTTTCATTCTGAACAAACAAGTTAGGTTACATTCATAATCAAGGTCTAACAAACATGTGGAAAACACTTCCTTCCCCATTAAATTAATATAAATGAATATCATGATAAATATTGATATTGTATGATGAAAAAAGATATATTGTGATATTAGTTTTGATCATATCGCTTATCCCTAGTATACAGGAAAATAAATTCAATATCAAAGTCAGATAGAAGTCATAACCAAAGCTGCAATTGAGGCTTACAGAAGAGAGAGCTTAAAAATAGCTACTCCTCCTTGAATTTAGCCGATTAAAACAAGGGCCATCAGATCGGGTGAAAATCAGGTTGGCTTCTCCTTTACTGCAGGAGGAATGAGGGGGGAAAAAGCTTTCCAAAGTGACAGGCTGTCAGAGAGGTGGCATCATTGACATTGACATGGCAAAACAGACTGACTAGTGTTGCCTTTGTTCAATGATATGAAATCCTCACAGCAATATTATCTTCTTACTTCTAGCCGCGATGCAAAAACAAGACGGGAAAGTGCTGGGGTCAGATGAAAGATCGATAGAATACTAATTTAACAATTGGGAGAGAGTGATTTTAGGGAGATTTGCTGTGGTTTATTATTGTCATGTGAAATTAGTCGAATCCTATTTAAAGATTACATTCAGAGAACTGGTGATTCCATGAAACTAAAGGGGATTAGTGCGATCTTTGTTAAATTAAATATAGAATGAATGAGAAATTTACATTTTCTGAAGAAAAACTTGCACAACAGTAGGCTGTTGCTTAACAGTTCCTTAAAAATTACAAAGAGCCCAGCCTCTAGTCATTTTCAGGTTTCTAGATAAGATGTGGGTATATATGAAATATTTTTTCATCTTTTGGGTGAAAATCTTAAGTCTGATTTCTTAGAAAACAATACAACAAGCCACATTATTTAAGGAAGTGGTTCTCAACGATTAATGATTATAATTAACTATGATTATGATTTATGATTAATATGTTAAATAAATAAAACAAATGTATAAAATAACAGCACCACTTCTCTTGTATGTATTCTGTGATATTTATTCTGTGTTTCAAAGCAGCTAGAGCCGCTTCTCATTGCGCTGTGTGAAATTAAGACTGAACGGGGGCTCAAAACATCCGACTGCTGCATGAACAGATGATTTGCAAACTACAGCTCTCGGCTGGACAAAGCAAGCCAGTGTTGCGCTAGTAAAGTTTTGATGGATGACCACTGTAATCAAAGAAAAGATGATTACAGTGACATACAGGAGTTGTACATTATGCACACGTGTATCAGTTATTACTGATGCACAAACAAACCGTGTATGTGTTCTCTCGGCGCACTGATCACTATAACATCATATTTATACTGAAAACAGTTCAGTATATTCACATAGTTGTCAAAATAATAACAAAAATTTATAACGAAAAATTTGCAGAAGAAGCCTGTTTTGGAGAAGTTTGTGAGGATCAGTGCTGTTTATGTACATATGGGAATCAGACGCTCGAAACACAGACACGATCGCTTGTTCTGACAGAGGAACTGTTCACTGATGAAGGTCGCTGAGTTTCCACACATTCAGAATGTTTTCATTTTTCATTTGTATTTTGGTGTGTTTAGCGATTCTGAATGGATCCATATAGTAGTTTCTATGCAGTTCTTTGGCATCTCCCTGTGCTCTTGATTTGTATGGCAGGTTGACTTGTGCTTATTTGTTAAAGATATAGTATAATTGAGCTTTACATACTTTTAAGCACTTTTAAGTTAAGTAAAAAAAACACTGAATGTTTAAATCGATCTTGCATTTGTTTTGTTTAAAAATAATTACATGGAATTGAAAAGTAACAACACTAGAATACAAAGGTTTTTGTGAATAGAAAAGGTTGGGGGGCCTTGCAGTTTTGATTCAGAGAAGAGGGCGGGCTTGGGGTAAAAAAGGTTGAGAACTACTGATTTAAGGTATCATTCACATCTGCTGCACAAACATTTTGGGATGAGCTACACAGCGATGTTTAATACTTAATAGTTTGGACTGTGTTCATATCCCTAATACTGAGTATGAGCGATCGCAACAACGATATACTGACAAAAGCCCTGTTCATTTCTCTCCAGGGTATGAATGTTTATGCGTGAACATGGCTGTGTGTTAGCAGGTGAGAGGAAAATGACTGCCCTCCGTGGTTTAGCCTTTAAAACAAGTACTCAGCTTACATGACAGTCCGGTCAATCTTGTGGATACTGAGAAGTAGTGTTCATTATAAGAACACTTGACAGAATCACAGGGGCTTCTGAGCCCGCTCACATCTTCCTGAGTGAAATGTCAGGCAGATTGGTGGAGATAATAGCAGTCATCTGTCAACCGCATCCTGCCGCAACAATCAGAATAATCCTCCACACAGGGGACGGGAGCAAAGCTCACCTACAGCCACCGCGCCGCTGAATGCAGCTCTCTACCGCTTGCCTCTTATCGCTTCTGTATTTTCACATTTCTCATGTTTGGATCACAGCATTTCATGCTGCAAGGTTAAATATTGCAACGGAAGGGTAGCCTTTAGTAAGATCTTGTCAAAGATATTACGAAGCAACAGCAAGCAACAATTGAATAAACGGTATAATTTTAGGAGGTATAATGTACAAAAATGGTCAAATAAAGCCCCTCTTACCTGCAGAGAGATGCATACATATGTACAAGGTGGGGAAAAGCGTATTCCCCAGTTGTAAGTCGCTTTGGATAAAAGCGTCTGCAAAATGACTAAATGTAAATGTAAATATATTCAGTCTGGCTACACTGGTTAAGCATTTAGGTTTTGTTTCACTAAAAAGAATCGGCTCATAAAAATCATTTGTTCGGGTATCTGACTGTACTGGTAACATTGAATGGTTTTCATTCACTAAAAACAGTTTAACACTAAAAAACTGGTTCATAAGAGTCATTTGTTTTGGAATCAAAATACACTGCACCTGTGAGATTCTGATTCCGATTCAACGGCTTCTTAAAGGGATAATTCACCCAAAAATGAAAATTCTATGATTGTTTACTTTACTGCGGAACACAAAAGAAGATTTTTGAAGAATAATGGTAACGAAACAGTTTAGGTGCTCACTGATTTGAATTGTACGGACAAAAACAAAACACTGAAACATTTCTAATTTTTTGCTATGCAGAAGAAAAAAGGTTATACAGGTTTGGAATGACATGAAGGTGAGTATAATTAAATTTTTGGATTAACTATTTCTTTAATTGTCATTCGTTCAGGTATCTGCCTATATTGGTAGTAATAAATGGTTTTGATTCACACTAAAAAATAGCCTTATAAGGGTCATTCCTTAGGGAATTAACTACATAGATCACACTGCAGTTTTGATTCACTAAAAAAAATGGTTCGTAAGGGTAATTTCTTTGGGAATCAAGCAAAATTGTTTGTGCTGTTTATTTCTCACTACGAAGAACCGATTTGTAGAAGTCATTAGTTTAGAAAATGTACTACATTGGCAGAATTGTACTGTTTTGATTCACTAAAAGAAAAAAAACCTGGTTCATAACCATTCAGGAATGTGACTACACTGTTTGTGATTCATGTTTCATGCAGGAAACACTGAGTATTGTTGTATGTTGTTCGGTCCACATCAGGCAAAGAATGCACGTGTAAGAATCGTTAATGGTTCTAAATAAGAAGCGGTTCTCACTTCCCAAGCCTATGTGAAATTCACTGTTTTTGTTGCTGAATTACTTGCTAGTAAAAGAAAGCAGCCAATGAGATGCTTGGCAAGCAGGGGCCACAGCTGGCTGAGACAGTTTGAATATTTAACTCAATAAAAGGTGTACAGTTCCACATCAGGTTCAAATGATGCAATAATACCTTGCTGAGGGAGAGGTTTAGCCTGCAAATGATGACGAACCTCATAAAAAGACGGGCTGTTTGGCTTTGTGAAAATCCTGTAACCGCTTCCCATCACTGCCAAACACTTGATAGATTAATAGTGCAGATATTTCCATTCTTGGCACTCGCTGAACAAATAGGGCCTTTTATTAGGTTCCACAATGTGCATTGCTCAATTTTCGAAGCAGACTGGGTTATTAGGCGCCCGATTTGCGTATTAAAAACACTGCTTCTCCGATAATCTCTGCACCTGACAGTCATCCGTTTATATGCGCACGGCAGACGCGGTGGCCGTATTAACACGCGGGGTTCAGAATATTAATGCAGCCACCCTGCAGCCCGCATTCTTCCCACATTCGCTCAGGAACCGAACGGCTCTTTCGCTCTTCCTGTTTTTCTTCAGTGACTAGACAAACTGAGTCTCTGCCAGGCTCTGATCTGTGCAGCTGCAGGCCAGCATAAATTCCCCAGTTCCCACACAAAATGTCTGAACTGGCATTCCCTTTCAGAAAGCTCTTTTATGAATGAGCGAACGCACTGGAGAGGCAGCCGTGTTTTCATTCGTATTGACTAGCGCCATTCACTGCTCGCAAACCGCATGGTGCTTTTAAAGGTGTGTTTGTGTGTTTCTCCTCTCCTGAGATGGGCGCTGGGCTCGGAGGGCGAGGTTATTAAAGGGTCGTCTGGGTCGAGGGCTGCGCTGACCTCACACTTAAGCTGGAGGATATTAGCCTTCCTCTAATATTATTAGCATTAAGTTTAATCTTAAAGCTAAGACCCTGCATGCTAACAAAATCCTTCTGCTAATAACTATAAGGTATAGCACTAATATGCAGGACAATATTCATGAAGACTGCACTAGGATGGAAAAGAGTTTATTTCTTGGTTTCCCAGTAGTCATTACCACAAAGTTGGAGAGGGTGCGAACAAAATGTAAACAGAGCAAAAGTGCAAGCAACAGGCGATTAAAAAAAATGTGGAGGGAAAAAAGGGTGGGGGGTCTCCAAGTATACTCTCTGACTGACTGACGTCAACCGTGTCAGAGAGAATGAACAGGCTGGAGAGCGAGGGAGCAAGAGCGGGGTGGTGTGCTCACACAATCCTGTCTTTGTTTGGAACATCTGTGTGGCTGAGGGAGGGGAGCAGGGCCGGGCTCTGTGACACTGCTTTAATGGAAGTGCTGAAAGTCATGTTTCTGTGTGCTGAAGGCCTGCTCCCCACACACAACACACACATAAACACTCCCTTCTAAATCGCATGTTAGAAGTTATTAAAAAGGCATTCAGATTAAACGCATTCAAACATCACAAAACACTCTCAACATTATCTGACGTGAAAAACTAACCAGAAATTATAAACAAGGTTCCCACAACTTTAGACCAATGAATTTCCCAGACTTTTTGATGACTTTTCCCAGTTGTGATTATTAAATGATTTTAGGCACCACTTTATATTTTTTGGTTAAAATTAGTTAATTAATTGCAGTAGGTATCACAAATAATACATTAATGTTAATTTATGCAACATTTCTACAATTATAAAAATGTATTACTATACACTACCATTCAAAAGTTTTTTTTATATAATATTTTTGCAAGGACACATTAAACTCATCAGATGTGACAGTAAAAAATTATAATATTACAAAAGATTTCTGTTTCTAATAAAAGCTGTTCTCATTAGAACTATTTCTGAAGGATCATGTGACACTGAAGACTGGATTAATGGCTGCTGAAAATTCCTCTTTACCATCACAGGAATAAACTATATTTTACAATCTATTAAAATAGAAAACAGTTATATTAGAATGTAATAATATTTCACAACATTGCAGTTTTTACAATATATTTGTCTTAGTGAGCGTAATAGACTTTTTTAAAAAACATTAAAAAAATCTTTCCGAAAGAATCACCCCAAAGGCTGTACTTAGCTGAACAAAAAAAAAAATAATAATAATGATTATTCACTACAGCAATTCCTAAGACTGTTTATGATTTTATTAATTTACATGACTTCCATGGCCTGCAATTCACAATAACATTTTAACGTTTTTAAAATTGAAGGTGGGACATAATTTAGCCATTTAGCCGTGTGTTGGAGTATTTGGCACGCTCACTTTCAGCACTTTGGTAGTTGTGATGAATCAGGGGCTATGTGAGAAACCTGCAAGATTCACACAAAAATTAAAACTACATAAAACATAATAAAAGTAAGGTTGTGGTTGTTACCTGGCATCCAGAGACGCCTGGCACTCTTCCATAACCAGAGAACGGTGGCCTCTCAGACTTGCCTATGGATAAACAAAGAGACAAACAATCAGCACAGCACCATACATATGAACCATATAAACATTAGCCATGTGAAAAACAGGGAGATTTCAAGGAAGACAAACAATAATTGCCAAAACTCACACATTCTGGTCAGAAGGAACTGATTTATATTTCATATTACATCAGTAAGGTGTATTTTACTTTTGTGTGTATTTTTTCTAGCTGTCCATCAGACAGGGCATGTCTGACAGTAAACTACAGGGTCAGACAGGTCTCAGTCGATGATAATAATCCATCTCGATCCTTTTCCGGTTGCAGAAACAGCCCATGAGCTTGCAAGGGGCAAATAAAAATTGCACAGCGCACAGCCGTATAAATCATGCACTTCACAATATCTAAACTCAGCAGTTTCAACCTCTCTATGAGAAAAAACAGGAGACTCCTAAAGGAAAATGATAAACAACTCTAAAAACATCATATATTATACTTGTCAGACTTTCAAACATTAGAACAAACACAGCAGTGAGGCTAAATTCTGTTTACTCCAGGGAAAAGGTAAACATTTTTGTTACTTAAATTCGGATGGCGAAAGTGTGTGCGTTACACCTTCCTCGCTTCAGGTTCTGTTCTGCTGCGCTCAGGTGCACAAGGCCACGTGTCAGCGAGCGTGCGAGTTTCTGCACTGGCGTAGCCTCCCGAGACGCAGCCGTAATCAGGTACAGTGGTTTAACTGAAAACGCTGCTTCCCCTGTGGTGTAAACTGATCTCAATCGACGTGATATAACATTTCAGAGTTGTTCTCCTACAAAGGAAGAGGGAGTATAGTTGTGGGTAAACTACTGCACTCCCTCCCCCTTAGTCACCACAAAAGAATAAAACATCTGTCTTTCAGCGACTTTAAAGGTTAGGAGGCTTTTTCCCTCTCATCCTGACATCCTGGGCTTGCTACTCAGCTAGGTTTTGGTTTCTGAGTTTGTGGCGTACACAGACTCCCACACAGGCAGTCTTTCCTCTACAGATGCACTCGTGTCCAGCATTGAAATATTCATTTACAGCATGTGTTTTGTCACACTCTCTCTGTCCACACTGAATAATTTATAAGACTGCGCTGTTGTTTTAGATCCTGGCAGAGCTGGAAGCGCTACTCATGAAAAACATCCTCCCTCGGTCTGGGTCTCTCGGATGCAGTTGCACGCATGGTTTGGCACGCTCTCGTGCAGCGTAACCCATCCATGCGCTGTAACATGTCGAGGGACCTTAATGCGATCAGCGCCGTAACCTCAGCCACTAAGGAGGAGTCCCAGAGGATCTGAACGGTAAACATGCGTTTAACTGTCTAGCATGCCAGAGTGAACGGCCGACCTGCGTTAACAGTCAAACAAAGAGATGAACCTATTCACCTGACTGCACGCATACACCAACATACTGTCAGAGTCCTAAATTATGACACGCACGTTAATGAGCTTTAACTGTTCCAATGACATCTTTAAAATCACCCACATATATCGCTATAAATGATAACTGGTTTTATCAGTGTGAAAATTTACAAAAAATTATTTAAAAACAAAATCTCATCTCAGGAGGATAAATGATAAGATAAGTTTTATATATATATATATATATATATATATATATATATATATATAATTTAGCATATATGAATAGCATATTTTATATATTTATTTGTTATATGTATATATATATATATATATATATATAATTTAGCAAATACAAATAGCTTAGAATATGTATAATTTAGCATATATATATATATATATATACACATACACATACACTGAACAAAATTATAAATGCAACACTTGTTTTTGCCCCCATTTTTCATGAGCTGAACTCAAAGATCTAAGACTTTTTCTATGTACAC